AGAGAAGAAACGTTTCATTAGAGAAGAACCCGTCCAGAAGACCTACACAAATTTTTTTTATGATTTTTTACCTGGATTACTGAGATGCATCAGGACATTTATGAACAAATATGGGACTAAGCAAAGTTGCAAAAAAGATGCTAAACACTTGAAATGATACAGTATTCAAAAGTAAAAAGAGTGTTTATTCAAAGGAGCTCAAAAACGTGTTACTACATTCTGAAATGTCACTGCTGCCTGAACCATCTTAGCAGACTGAGATAACACTAATGCTGCACAAAATATGAGCCAACACTACATGATAGTCATCACAATGATTACAAAAGCAACAATGCAAACAAACACAGTTCACTGAGGGCATGCAGATATCAGTGTCTGATGTTCAGACCRCAGAGCTGCCAGACAGGGCATGGTGAACTGTTGTGCTGTCCTTTTTAAAATCATTGTATTTTTTACACAAACTGTCAGATGTGCTGAGTGTGTGGTAAGATGATTTGGGTGCTGTTTTTGGTGAAAATGTGCCTAAAAAATAAAGGTTAAAAAAATACACATTTTATATTAATCTGGCAACCCTGCTTGCTTGATCAGTTTTCTAGAACAAACGTTTCTACCTTTGACCAAGAGAAGAAAGGTTCCAGAGACTGTGCCGAATATTTAGTTAAGTTTTTAAACTCATCAGTTAGCCACTTGACAACGAGCCTTATGAAACATTATATAGGTGTGTTATTCCTTAATGATAATCATTTTGTACATTTATAACAATAACCAAAGGGACTTTTGGCAATTATTTTTTTCAAGTTTATTTAATTTCGGTAGATTTTCTCAAAACCCAACACTTTCATAACCTCAAACCTCTACTTTGAGAGCTGATATTGTAGAATACATTTAGTGAAAGCTGCATGGTTATATGCATGAGTTCACTCTACTAAACAGGGGAGTAACAATGCATCAATCCACATCGATTTATCGATTAAATTATTAAGTATTCAATTACATCAAGGAAAAAAACCTAGATCCATATCATCATCAAATGCCCGATGTGGATCGATGTTCATTTCATTTATTTAATTATGGATATGTACGAGTGTAGTGAAACACCAGATGCATAGTATTTTAGTGTCATCACAGCCTTGCTAATGTTCAACACCTATCCTATCGATCATACTGTGATGAAGCTGGTGATTGCACCCCCAGTACAAAACAYCAGTTTCATAGCTTTGTCTGGTGACTTCATGGATGTCAGATAAGAAACAGAGGTTCTTATTTTCAGGCAGTGACAAACTAAAAATGCTATATTTGTTTAAAAATATGATCAACGTATTTAATGTTTTGAATTTCACTTTAATGTGGGCTAGGTCATTACACAATATGTCTCYTTTAAAGTCAGTGCTTCTGTAAAAGTGTTTTAAAGAAGTGTTTCAGTTTTTAAGTCAAATTTTTTTGCATAACATATTGTATCGTGCTTTCGACTTAAYGCAATTGTCTCCCTTTACTGCCATGTTTTCTGGAAAGCAGTCATCCTTTGGGAGTACTGATCCTCTTACCAATCCTGCCACACTTRGTTGAAAACCACCTGGGATTAGTCGGTTAAATCTAGAAAGTCCTTGCCTGCTGGTAGTACAGATATACACGAAGTGCAGCATTATGGACAACTTCAACAAAGTGAAAATGCCTCCTCCTCTTTGAATAATCAAACGCTTTAAAGCCTCTTCCCTAGAGTTGCACTTCTATTACATAGTGTGTGGTACAAATGCTTCCTGCACACACAGCCGGGACTGACCCCCTAACAAAGAACAGGTTCAATCTGCCTCCCCTCCCCCAACTGGGGGGAAGCTGATGAGGGTCACATGACCTTTCTAGACAGCACCGAGGAGCRTTGGTGATATGTAGGGGTGGGGGAAGGGCTGTGGTAGTCACACGCCTCATGTTGTGTCATTTGGACTGGGCAAGTGTGGGGAAATATCAGTCTGCTGCAGAGGGAATACTCACAGTGTTATTGGGCCCTGGTGGCCGCTGACATTTTGAATTTGGCTGTTTAAACCCTGCTGTCTTATTTACAACGTAAAAAAAAAATAAGCATGGGTCTTGGAGATATGTGACAACTGTGCGCAAGTATTTTTGTGTACAAGGCTTGTAAGCATTAGAAAGAAATAAGCTTTGTGTGTGTGTGTGTGAATACACTCGACAACACCTCCCCCATTCCCTTCCTCCCCTCCCCCCTCTCCCTCTGTAATACACCAGCAAAGGCAGAAGGCTCTCTGTGGTACACTGTTATGTCATAGCCCAGAGACCTATTTTTCAGACAAAGCAAAGCAGACTGCACAAACAAAGATGTCTATTTTCAGCTGCAAACACTTGGGCTTCTCGCAGGCAAAGTGGAGCTTTAATGAACCAGAAAGTGAACGGTTTAAGCTGCTTGGTTCATATATATATATATATATATATATATATAAAGTGTGATCTTTTCCACTAGAGGATCTGACAGTTTTAAAAATGCGTGCTCCTTTCTTAGGTTACACATTTGCCCTTGTGAGTGAATTCTTTTTACAGAACAAGGGGAGSCAGAGAAGGCGGGAAAACCAGACAGATGTCAAAGATTTAAAGGGTTGAGGACAAAGGTCAAGGGTTGGTGACCCGTGCAACCCCCCCAAAACTAGCCATTCCTACCCCCACCCCTACTCTGCACCCCATTAGGAGTCAGAAAGGCTTTATGATGCTTCCTTTTTACAGTGGCAAGTCTTTAAGAGATTTCTTCAGATGTTTGCTCTCATARTCACACCCTGACGTTTTGCTACATTTTCACAGCATGCTAAATTYCACCTGTATTAATGACCCCTGGTTACGCAACAAAATTAAAAAATAAATAATAATAAATTGAAWTAAAAATAAGATGTTTGTCTGGCGTTTCTTCCTTTTACTTTCTGTGTTCAGCTAGTTAGGGAGTTTAGTTYCAGAATAAGTTTAATGTTAATCAAAATTAAGGAATGTTATGGAAAGTAAAAAGTAAAAAATACATATTACAACAAAACTCAATTTGTTTGCTCTGAATGGAGCAGAAATAAGTATTAAGTCAGTCAAATGTTGTCCAGTTCATTGGTGTTTAAATTAATTGGGTAACATTTGCTTCAATAATAAGTGTGTTTAAGAGGAAGTGTATATTTTGGTAAACGTGTTTCCTGTTTTTTTTCTTTGTATTAAAATTTGCTGACTTGTCAGCTTGAGAATTAACAAATTAATGAACCTGCTTACACCCGGCACTTAAAGGGAACATATCACGTAAAATCCACTTTCATAACCATGAAATACATTTTGTTGTGTACTGAAGTCTATAAGAGTTAGGGCTGTGTATTGGYAAGAATTTGGCGATACGATACATATCATGACAGAGGGGTCACGATACGATATATCCCGATATATTGCGATACTATGAGCAAGGCAATGTTTCGCGATATATTGCGATTTTTTTGTCCAAAAATTCTATTAAATAAAAACCTCTTACAGGAAAAAAAAATGAAAAACCAAAATTCATTGTCTCAGAAAATTCTAATATTACAGAGACATGCTTTTGATACATTTAGCTGTTCTGCTTTGTATGTGTTTTATTTTATTTGTTTCATATTTCTTATTTCATCCATGTTTTCAATTATTAGACTAAAA